GCGGCCCGAGTCCTCCAGGGCCGAACCCGGACGGCACCGTGGCCCGCGGCCCCCGGCCCAGCCCGGGGAGCCCTCGCCTCCGGCCCGCGGCGCTTAGGAGACGGCGGCGCGTCCTGACCTGGATTCCCCGGCTGGGAGCTCCCGGCGGCGGCGGGCGCGCGGCTCCGGCGTTCCCCTCGTTCTCGGGAGACGCAGCTCGCGATTCCGAATTGAATTAAGTCTCCACCAAACGCATTTGTGGTTTTTAAATATAGACGAGAACGATTACCCAGGCAGGGTCCACCCAGGCCTAGGGGAGGAGTTGAGGAGGATGGAGGTTGGCAGTGGAAGAAAAATAAAACTCCTTTTTCCCCTCGTATATATTTTTTCTTTTTCTTTTTTCTCTTCTTGGTGCAGAACACAGCCTGTCATTTTCTCAACCTAAGTCAAACAACAGCTTGAGAGAGACGCTTGGGCGAGCGCTGGTATGTTGGCTTTTGGGGTTTTTAAGTCTAAAAATAAAAGGGGGCTGCCTCCCAAATTGCTGCTTATTCTGGCCCTGGACACTGGCGTAGAGATGGCCCTTTGATGCAGAGGCAGAACACAGGTTTGGGGCTTGGCCCGGGGGGAAGTGTACACACATAGCCTTAAATCAGATGCCTGTAATTTCTGCTATATTTGTTAGGCTCGGTCCCGGAGGCAGGAGGGGTGGGCAGGCCTCTCCTAAGAAGGGGTTTTCATGTCTCTAGTTTGTCGCTGGCATTAAGGAGGCTCTGAAAGGTCCACAGTGGCTGGCCTTAATGTATCAGGGCTGCGGGGACAGAATATAATGGCCAGAAGTTGTTTTTGCAGGCTTTGCCTGCTTGGAGCCACCTCTGAGGAGGGTCAGCAAATGACAGGGATACTTATTTATCAGCACCTCCTTAGCCCAGGGATGGAGATAGTGAATTTGGATATATCTTTTGTCATCCTCATGAGATGTGATGCAGCTACGGTTACTATTTCCATCTTTCTATTGAGGGAATAGGTTAAGTAGTCATCCTGGGGCCAATGTAGCAGAGTCAAGGATGGGAGTGAGGTGGAATCGTCTGGAGTTTTACTGACACAGGACACTTACAATTGCATTTTTCAGGATCCTTTATCCCCCACAGAGCCTGCTGTCCAACAGATTTCGTCCAAAGAGATTAAGTGGATGTAGGGCTAGAAACATGTGAGTCTGGAATGATCTGAGTTCTTTTCTGGCCATTTGAGTCAGCGAGTCGTGTGGTACTTTCCATCCTGAGTTTGGGTCCTGGATGAGCTCTACTAGGAAACTTTCAGGCCCTTGAATCTTCATGGACCTTGAGTACTGCTGAATCAGGACTGAGACATTGCCTGTGTAAGATTTCAATAACCTCTAAAGCTGTAGGATTTCAGCAGATGACATGTAGTGGGATTTGCTTGTTTCTGTTCCCATGGAGCACCACCCTGCTGCTTGGATTATGGTTAAGATCAAAGATGGTGGGTGGGTGGATAAGTTGGCATAGCTTGTACTGAGGGCAGTTTGGAAAGATATAGCAGATTCCTTTAAAACAATGTGAGCCCTGTGACTCAGTAATTTTACTGGAAGGAATTTATTTTACAGCATTAATTAAGGATATGTGTAAATATTTAGTAACAAGGATATTCATGGTAGTGTTTATAATAGTAAAAAAAATTGGAACCATCTTAATGTTCAAACAGATTTGGTAGAGTAAATCATGTTACAGTGACACAAGCATGTGTTCTACCACTATAAATATGCCAAAGCAGCATTCTAGGTATTGACATGGAAAGGTTTTCATGTTATATTATTGAGAGAGAAAGAGAGACAGAGGGAGAGAACACGTGTGAGTGTGTGTGTTTGTGTGTGTATTTATGTCTCTGGTACATGCAAACACCAAAATGATAATGGTCATGTTTTTTAGTAAGATTTCTTGTGGTTTTCTTTTTCTCTTTAGGTCAATTCACTGAATCATAATTTGCATACAAAAATTGCCTATTTTCATGTGGGCTATAATTTAGATCTTTCTCAAAAAACTTTTAATATTTTATTTATTTATTTGGTACAGGGTCTCACTATGCAGCTCAGACATAGTGATCCTTCTGTCTCAGCCTCCCCAGCACTGGGATTACAGGCGTACGCCACCACACCTGGTTTCTGTGGCCAGCACAAAGCACTTGGGATTCTGGGACTGGCATGGCATACAGTGCTGGTGATGGAATCCGGGTCTTTGCGCTTGCCAGGTAGGTGCTTAGTGCTGCTGAGCTCTCTCTCTCCAGCCCCTATAATTCAGATCTTAAGTGTCCCGCATTGGCCCATGTGTTAAAGGTTATACCCCAGGAAGACAGTACTGGTAGGTAGGTGGTGGAAGTTTTAGTTCTGCGCTATGTCCAACCATGATGTGCTGCCTCACAGCAGGGCCCAAAGAAAACAGCTAACCAACTACACACCGAAACCTCCAGAGTGCGAGCCAGAATAAACCTTTTCAGTTCAAGAGCGGATTACTTCAGGTACAGTGGTGCCTTGGTCTACAAACTTAGTTCTTTCCACTGTTCTGGTCACAAACTCAATTGGATGAGACTCTAGTCAAAGTTCCTGTAAGGTCAACATTGAACCAAACTGTTGAATTTGATTCAGTTCTCACCCAATTCGTGATCAGAATGGTGAAAAGAATTAAATTGGTGAACCAGGCACTACTGTATTTGTTAGAGTAAAGGAGACTAATGCAATGAGTTTTGATAAAGGGACATACAAGTACAGCAAGAAACAAAATCAAGATCTGGAACATTTTCATCTCCCTTAAAAGTACTCTCCAACCCCTTTGTACCTATTCTCTGTCCCCATAATAAACCAACCATTCACATTTGCAGTCACAATACAGTACTTTGGCATGTTCCAAACTTTTTTGTTTTGCTTTGTTATATATTTATGGGAACTTTTTAAATGAATATTATCTGTTCGAAGTTCCTTCCTCTGGTGAGAAAGAGAAGAGGATGAAAGCAAAGAAATCCCTTATTACCAGCTCCAGAGAGTGCCAGAGACCCTGGAGGGGGAGACAGAGGTTGGAGCTTTTATGGGATTGGGCTAGGGGCGGAGTTTACATGGGCGGCACAGTGACTAAACAGGCTCTGATTGGGGGAGGGTTGGTGTGACGAAAATCAAAAAAGAAGTTCCCGGAGGAGCATTGCATGGGTGCAGACCCATCATAAACTACAACAGTGAGGGCAGTAAGAACAGAATGCTCTTGGTATTTCTTTGATAATTATCCTAAATCCTAAAAATCCTAGATTATCCTAAAGATAATAATCAAAGAAATAATGCAGAAGCCACATTTTCCCTCTCATCAGTTCCACTCAATCTCATCATCAGCAAAATGGAAACAGTAGCAACAATAATTAGTTTCTGGTATGGAGTAATTTCCAAATGCGTGTTAATTCCCTTCCTTTCTCTCCACCTTTTCTACTCTCTAACCCAGCTTCTCTTGCTCTGAATTCTACAACCAAACTTCATGCAGTAATAGTCCTACATTCTTTTGAACTCTGGACAGTCTGCATTTTTCTTTCTCTCATTGCTCAAGGATACAGTATTGGAAAACATTAAATTTATTCACAATCTGCCATCTCCTGCCACTGTGTGTTCATTTATTTCGAGTTGTGCTAGACTTTAAGAGGGTTTTCATGGGAAAGCCAGAAAGCAAGCTATTTACTGTCAGCACTGGGAGCAGGAGACATAAACCTCCTGTTCAAATTGGGATTAAACTGGGGCCCAGAGAAGTTAGGAGATTCAATTTAGGCCAGAGTTTAGCAAGGAATAGGTAGAATTTATGATGGATTGAGCTATGCCCCCAAGTTCTTTTGTTGAAACACCAACGCCAACTACTTTAGAATGTGACTGGATTTGGAAATAGAACCTTAAAAAAAAATTAAAACAGGATGGTTAGGGCGGGCCTATTATGGCTGGTATCTTTATAAGGAGATTGGGACACGGATCCAGTATGACTGATATCTTTATAAGTACTGTTGTGTGAGAACACAGAGGGAGTCAACTGCAAGCTAAAGACAGAGAAACTAATGCTTTGATCTTGGCCTTCTGGCCTCCTGAACTGTGAGAGAATAAGTTTCTGTTTTGCAAGCCACCCAGTGTGTAGCATATTGGTGTAGCAGCCTGCACTGTGTTACTGTAGCAAAATCTTGAGATACTCAACTTAATGGGGGAAAGCTTTATTTTACCTCAAAAGCTTCAAGACAAGATTCAGCCCATAGTTTATTGGTCCTATTGTTCTGGGCCTGTGGTGGCATAATATAATGTGGCAAGAGCATGTGATGGTTGGTCTGTCCATCTCATGATGAGAGAGAAAGATACAGAGACAGGGACAGAGTCCCAGGGTCCTCTCCAAGGACACACTCCACTGACTTAACTTCCTCCCACTAAGCACCACCTCTTAAAGATTCTACCACCTCTCAATATTTCTATAGGCTGTCAACTATAGGCCCAATTCA